ATGAAGACCTTCACGCTGATCCTCTTCCACTTAATGAATAGTAAATACATTTTCTCTTATGATTTTCTTAATAATGTTTTCTTTTCTCTAGCTTACTTTATTGTAAGAATACAGTATATAATACATGTAACCTACGAAATATGTGATAATCAACTGTTTATGTTATCAGCCAACAGTAGGCTATTAGTAGTTTAGCCTTGGGGGAGTTAAAAGTTATATATGGATTTTCAACTGCATGGGGGTGGTTTCTCTAACACCCCATGTCGTTCAAGGTTCAATTGTATTTTCTTGCCCAGCTTAGCTCAGAAGTCTTCCATACTTTTCTTCTTCTGATCAATTCCCCAAATTACAGCCAGAATGATTTTTCTAAAACACAAATCCCACCATCTGCCATCTTGAAATATCATTTACCACACTCTCATTGCTCTTAGGATGAGAGTGGTCCACATGATCCTACATGGCTTGTCCCCTCTGACCTTTCTACCAGCCTTGCCTGGAACCATTCACAGTGGTTTACATTCAATCCCTAATCCTTTCTGTCACTCCTTCACCCCTGCCCATCATCAAATGCTGTTGGTCCTGCTTGGAAAACTATTTTGAATCCAAACTCTTCTCACCATCTCCACTGTTGGAATACTAGTCAAAGCTCCCATCATTTCTCAGCTGGGCTCTTGCCACAGCCCACTCAGTGATCTCTCTCTCTGCTTCTTCTCTTGTCCCATTCAATTTATTTTTCCAAACAATCACCAACCAGCAGGATTGTTTGTAGCATAAATCAAATCATGCGCTCAGTTACTAAAAACCTTTCAATAGCTTCCCACTGCCATTAGAATAAATCCCAAAGTCCTCAACGTTTGTCGCTGCTTACTGCTATCCCCATCCCCACCCTCTACCATTGCCGTACTGTTCCAGCCACACTGGCCTGCCTTCTTTCTAACCTCCTGCATTCCTGTCTCAACACCTCTTCTTGCCCTTCTGTCTCTTGGAATGCTCTCCCGAGCCTCTAAGAGGCTGCTCCTTCTCATTACTTTGCAAAGAGATGATCCCTGACCATGTTCCCTTCCCCAAGAAAGTCACTCTCTATTCCATTGCTTGGTTTTACTTTCTATGATATATAGCACTGACGACTCTGCTCAGAACCTCCCCTCTCATTCATAGCAAAGTCCCTTCCACAGCCCGCAAGGCCACAGGTGACCTGGCCACCTTTCTTCTCTGATCTCTTCTCCCATCTGTCCCCCCTCATTCTGCTCAGCCGTACTAGCAATCTTCTAACTCAGGGCCTTGGAATGTGCTGTTCCTTCTGCCTGGAATGTTCTCATCCAAAAACACGACATGGATTAATCTCTCATGTCATTTAGGTCTGGCTCAAGTGTCATTTATCACATAGATCTTCCTCAGTGACCCTAATTCGTTTGGCAACCCCATTCCCACGCCCGTCGCTCTCCTTCCCCAACCTTTTACTTTCCCTCAAAACACTTACATTACCTGACATGTTACATATTCATTTTTTATCAAGTTTTCTGCCAACTGGAATTGCATGAGAGCAGAAATTGTTTACTTCACAGTTTTCACTGTTCTTGCAAGAGTAGGTGCTTAATAAACAGTTTGTCATTAAATCGAGGACAGAACTACCTGAAATCGCCTAATAAATTGGTGTCTCGTTTATGTCTTTATGTTTCCACCACCTTCCCCCACACATAGGCCCTTGAAGACGCAGCTGTAGGGAGGAGGAGGAAATGTGTAAATTCGACCACATTTACAAATGGTAACTGATTTAACTTCGGTACTTTCAGACCTGCCCGGCCACTTTCTCTCAGGAGACTCCGCTCCCAACGGTCACACCCCATTTCCAGGCAGCCCTTTGCTCTTACAAATCGTGAGGCCACACGTGGCTCTGTGCATATTCGCCTCATTTCTTCATCAGCGCTTCTCTGTAACACATTCCTGGAAGCGGGGCGGCGGGGTCGGAGAGTGACCGCACGTATAAATTCAATAGATATCGCCGAGTGCCCCTCCCCGGGGTCATCCCATTTTGCATTTCCACCGGCGACGCCCTCGTGAGGGTGCCCACCCTCCCCTCCACAGCCTCGCCCGCCCACTGAGGGCGGCTGAAGTTGGGGGGAGGGGGTTGAGAAATGGCCCCCGCTGAGGACGCCCTTCCTCCACCCCACCCGGGAAGAGTCCGCCGGACACGCGCGTGTCACCTCCCCAGCCCCGCGTCGCGCCCCCTGCGGGCGGGCTGCGGGCGGCCGGGAAGCCTTGCACAACCGTCCAAAAGAGGAAGCGCCGACAGGGCTGAAGCAATCGCTCAGGAAAGCCGTTGCAAGACACATCGAGCCTCAGCCTGCGGCTTGGGCCCAGGCCCCTGAGTCCCCAGCAACAGATCGAGGCTACAAAGACGGGTCGGCTCGCCAGGGGACGCTCCTGAGAGAAGGGCGCGCGCGGCGCAAGGTAGGGGAGAGGGGGAGGAGAAGGCACGGCCTTTCCCAGAATTAAAACACACACACAAAAAAACTGTTTTTTCTTCGAGGTGGTGGTGTGGTGGCGGGGGGGAGGATAGAGAAAATCAGGCGCAGACCCGATGAGTTGGAAAAAGCGGCCGCCAACTTTAGGGGTCCTTTATCCGCTTTTTTGTCTGTCCCCCGTCTCCAGCCAGGGCCCTCCTTGCACCTCGACGCCCAGCAGCCGGCGCGCGGGAAGGGCAGGGCCGCCAGCACTTCCTCCCGCCGCGCAGAGCTCGACCCTGGTGCAGCCGCCGCGCCCCGCCGCGCCCGCCACGCCGTCGAGGTAAGCGGCGCCCGCCCGCCCGGGAGCCCGGGGAGCCGCAGCCCGGGGGCCTCGGGGCTGCCTCGGGACCCCGCGCCAAGTCCGTCGGGTCCGAGGCCCGGCGCAGCCCCCGGCGCTGGCGTCCCGAACGCGGCCCCCTGCTTGGCCCTCGGGGCGGCGGGTCCCCAGTCCCCTCCGCCGATCCCCGCGCTGGACCCCGCTCGCGCGGGGCCTGGGGCTGGCGCTCGCCTTCCCCGCGCCGTTTCATCCGCTTCCACTGATTTCCTGCCCGGGAAATTGCTACAAGGTCAAAGGGGGGACGGTATGAACCCCCGGGGGCCCCGGCCTGACCGAATCTGGGGGCACCCGGGGGGCATTTTCGGGCGCCGTGGGTCAGATGCGAGTCGTGTGAGAACCTGAGTGCCAGTCGCAGTCGGACGCATATTCGCGTTTCCTTCCTTTAAAACTTTCGGACAGCCGTTTCTTCTTTTTAAAAATAACCTCTCCTCTGCGTTAGTCTCCTTTTCATTTTAAAATACGATAGAGACCAATGTAAATACCGGGCGCGATTTCGTACTTCAGCCTGGAATGAATGTCCCGAGGCCTTTGTGAAGGAGAGAAACTGCCGAGGGTGTCGCCGCAGCTCGGAGAGCGCGGGCGCGGGGTCCCGCCGACGGCCTCGGGGAGGGCATCTCTCGGCATTCACGCCCCGGTGGACCGTGAGCTGTGCCGCTTTCTAGAGCCACTCAGGGTGCGAGGGTCAAAAAGAGCTTTTATTGTGATCATTAGAGAAGAGAGATGGAGGATAAACACGAGTTTACAAGTCCCCGGGGGTTATTTCTGGTGGTACAAGGTGGCTTAAACAAAGGCGAGCCTCTGTTCGTTTTAGAATCTGGGCCTCCAAACTGAAATTTCAGAAAGGGAACCTTTGTCGTTTTGTGTCAGCCTGGAGTGGCAGTTTTCCCTCTGGCCTCGCTGAAATCCTGGCGTGGCACATGGGCCATTGGGGCAATCGTGTTGGCTGGTGAAATCAGCAGGGATCTGTAGTGTCTCCCCGGTGGTACTTCCGGTCTGCTCAATGCGTTTTGGAAAGTCTAAGAAATTTAATGTCATCCTC